GTGTGTGTGTCTCTGTCTATACCTGTGTGACATTAAAGTGACCCCAGGTCCCCCTGTCCCGCTGTCACAGCTCCTGCTACTCCGTGTGTGATGGAGCTCAGGCTCCTGCCCGGATCTGCTGGCTCCACAGCATCGACCAGGACCTCGCCAAGTGCTTCAGTCAATATTTCCAGCTCCAGCCCTCGTGATTTTGGGGCTTTCGATGGCATTTCTGTACAGGAACTGCGCTTTCTAAAAAAAATAAATTAATTAATAAAAAATTAAAAGAAAATAAGAGATAGCGAAGAGTTTCCAGCTCTCCTTTGACTCTCAAAAGCACTGGAAATGAGCTGGGTGATGCTCAGGGTGGTGTTTTGGGGAGTGATGGGAGAGGGACTACCTTGAAATTTAAATTTAAAAAACTTTCATAGTGGGGGAAAAAACCCCCTCATCTTCATGACAATCTGAGCCCCTTTAGCTGAGGTTCTTTTGCAAACTGTGGTAACTAAAAGCCTTTGCACCACACCAGTGACATTTGAGGTGTCCCTCTGCTCCCGGTCATCGAGATTGAGTTTTATTGGAATAACCCCAGCAGCTCAAACTCCAGCCCAAATTACATTTGTAATTTAAATGCAAATAAGTATTTAGTGCGAACACAATGGGAAGGGGCGTTGGAGCCTGTAACTCTGCTCCTGCTTAATGAGACTTTGGATTTGAAAGTATTTATCACTCCTGCCGGGTCCGTTTGTGATGTTTTATCAGAATGGGAAAAGCATAAAAAACCATGGAGTGGATGTGAAAACCCAATTTCCAGCCTAGAGGTGGTTTCTAGCTGGGACATCACTGCTCCAGCACCACTCCAGGACCCCTCTCCATCATCCATCCATCCATCCATCCATCATCCATCCATCCATCATCCATCCATCCTTAAATTGACTCCAGCAATTTCACAGCCCAGTTAAACCAGCAGCTGAATCATGGAGTGACGTGTGTGGACCCACGGGAGCTGCTGTGCACCTACAAGTGATTTCCAGGGACCAATAACACGTTTCCTACCCCAGATAATATTCTTTTTCTTTCTTTTTT